CTGGGCTCCAGTGATCCTTCTGCCTCAACCTTCCAAGTATCCGGAACTACAGGCACGCGCTACCACACCTGGCTAGTTTTTGATTTATTGTAGAGATGAGGTCTTGCCAAGTTGCCCAGGCGGGTCTCGAACCCTCAGGCTCAGGCAATCCACTTACCTCAACCTCCCAAGGCGCAGGATTACAGGCTAAGCCACCGAACCCGGCTGGTATAAACATTTTTAAGGTTCTTGATGCATTTGCCAAACTTTAAGGTTGTATCAGTCTGTGCTTTTGACTTGTGGCTTTTGGCTTTCTCTCTAGGTTATTTTATCTGTCTTCTTCCTTCTGCTGTAGTCTGCATTTTCAGTCCTGACTTCCCTCTCCTCCCCTTGCTTTTCTTTTTTGAGCCAGAAAATTCCTATAATTCCTATGTCAGTGGTTCTCAAATTTGAGTGTGCATCGGAATCACCTGGAAGGCTTGTTAAAACATGGGTTGATGAGTCCTGCCCCTAGATTTTTTCATTCAGTAGGTGTGAGATGGGGCCTGAGAATTTGCATTTCTAGCGAGTTCCCCATTGATGCTGATGATCCTACCAGGACCACACTTTGAGAACCCTGCTCTAGGGAATCTCACATCAATTTTTCCTATCTTTTCCCACATGTGGACTATTTTAGTAAACTATTAGTTGATTTCTGCATCAGAGGTCTTTTCCTCTCTAGCTTGTTTGAAAAAGTCAGGTCAAACTTCCTAAAACACAGGTGTGAACCTGTTATTTTCCTACTCCAAAACCTTCTGGTTTTTTCCTTATACCCCTGGATTTAGTTTGAACTTCTTGGCTGGCACAATGCCTCAACCTGTAATCCCAGTACTTTGGGAGGCTGAGGCGAGAGGATCGCCTGAGCTCGGGGGTTCGAGACCAGCCTGGTCAACTTGGTGAGACCTTGTCTCTATAATAAATCATTAAAAAACTAGCTGGGTGTGGTGGCGTGCATCTGCAGTTCCAGCTACTTGGAAGGCTGAGGCAGAAGGATCACCTGAGCCCAGCAGGTTGAGGCTGCAGTGGCCGTGAGCGTGCTACTGCACTCCAGCCTGGGGGACAAGAGTGAGACACCAACGCAAACAAAAAAAAGAACTTCTTAGTGTAGCATAATCAATTATTATGATGTATCTATATGCAGTTTTCAAAGCATTTTAATATATACTTTTTTATTCAACATTTTCTATAATCTGGCTGCAACCCATGTGGTAAAATGAAAAAACACTTAGTAGGAAGTTAGGAGACTTGAGTTTTTCATAATTCCACCTTTACCTGTGATCTTGGGTTAGTTTCTTCATCTGTAAAATGGAAGGGTGAGAGTAAAATGTCTTTAAGCTGGGCGTGGTGGCTCCTGCCTATAATCCCAGCACTTTGGGAGACTGAGATGAGGATTGTCTGAGCCCACGGGTTTAAGACCAGCCTGGGAAACTGATCCTTACAAAAAAATAAAAAAATTAGCTGTTTGTGGTAGTGCATGCCTATAGTTCCAGCTATTTGGAAGGCTGAGGTGGAAGGATCAGCTAAGCCTGAGAGGTCAAGGCTGCAATGGCCATGAGTGTGCCACTGCACTCCAACCTGGGCAACAAAGTGATACTCAACTCAAAAAAAAAGTACCATCAGTACCAGGGCGGGGATAGCTGGGTCTCCTGTGTATGAGATAACCTTGAATACCCTTGACATTTTTTTTTTTTTTTTTT